CCACCTCTGGCAACCATCAATCTGTTTTCTGTATCAAAGAGTTCAGTTTTTAACTTTTTTAAGATTCCACATATAAGTGAGATCACACAATATTTGTCTTTCTCTGTCTGACTTATTTCACTTAGCATAATACCCTCAGTATCCATCCATGTTGTCATAAATGGCAATACTTCTTTCTTTTTTATGGCTTAATAGTAATTGGTGTGTGTGTATCACATTTTAATTATCCATTCATCCATTGAGGGACACTTAAGTTGTTTCTATGTTTCGCCTATTGTAAATAGTGCTGCTATGAACATGGGCATGCAGTTATCTATTCAAGAGAGTGATTTCATTTTCTTTGAATTATTGTTATTTTTCATTGTAGTAAAATAATTGGCCATCTAAACCATTTTTAAGTGTACAGTTGAGTGATTTTTTTTTAATTCTTAAAGTACTTAAATGTCTACAAATTTTTTAAAGGGCATAGAATGTATTTTATTTTCTATATATAACTTTCCTAAATCTGTATGCCATGTTAGGTATCCTAGGAATACAAAATCCATACCTAATAAATGAGTAATTGATAGGCCATGTTGCAAAATGTCAGTGCAGCCATATTTTATTATAACATAAATCAAGTTGTGGATTTTCCCCTATATTCCTAGGTTTGATACCAGGAAATAAATTTCCCTGGCAAATAAATTTGAAAGTGGTTTTTCTTTCTTTTTTTTTCCTTAAAAAAAATTTTTTTTTAATGTTTGTTTTTGAGACAGAGCATGAGCAAGGGGAGGGATAGAAAGAGAGGGAGACACAGAATCTGAAGCAGGCTCCAGGCTCTGAGCTGTCAGCACAGAGCCCGACGTAGGGCTTGAACTCACAAACTGCGAGATCATGACCTGAGCCGAAGTCAGACGTTTAACTGACTGAGCCACCCAGGCACCCCTGGTTTTTCTTTTTTTAATCTTCTTTTCCCATGTGGAGAATAAAGATTTGATATCAGTTTCTTTTTGAACAGATGAAGAACACCGTGGTTCTGGGGAAGCCTGGGTGACCCAGGTCAAAGAAAAGTCTGGGAGGGACAGGGTATGGACAGTGGGGCCAGCAGGAGTCTGGGGTCCAAAGCAGGCCCTCTTGGACAATACTTTCACTTCCCCTTTGCAAAGCTCACATCTTCAAGTTCAACCAGAGACTCTGTTGTTCAATCCAATATCATAGTTATACCATAATTGTGCCCGTTGCACAATTAAAAGGAGCCTAAAGTGAGCTCCTTGAATGGTCTATCATGAGCATGTTCGGGATCAATACCAGACTCTTTGCCTAGATTGGATGTAAGGGTGCCTTCTGGTTGAATTGGCTGGTTAGAGGATGTAGGGGTAGGGCCTTGACTTGAACCTACCTTGGCATGGCAAGGGCAGTGTCTTTACTTAGATTTGCATGTGCATGTGGGGAGAGACTAAGAGACTATTGGGGAGCAAGGAGCCTGAAAACCCGAAGCCACCCTTGGTACCTTCACGGAACCAGTTGCATGCTGTTATATGAAATTCATCATATAATTTTCACTGCAAACCTGCAAGGCAGAAATTATTATGCCTATTTTACAGATACAGAGACTGAGGTTATAAACTAACGTCACAGAACCCGGTGGCAGAGTTGAAATTTTTTTTATCCGGTTCTGCCAGACTCCAGAGCCCACCATATTCAACTCTCCCCCCTCGAAGGCAGATATCACTTTGTCCCTGTCCAGCATGCCCACGTTTGCTGTGGAACAACTAAGGGCATTTACTGCAGGGTCTGGAAGGCTTTTCTCTTGGTAGTCTTCTGCAGGCAGTCGCATTTTCCAAGGAGTGGTGGGTGCATCTTTGGCTTTGAGTGGACCAGCGTGGGTGGGTGCATGGGCCTACTGCACGCGGACTCACGTGGAGTAACACCTGTTTGTGACTCTCTCTCCAGGAGTTAGCTGTCCCCCTGGTCCATGACGGCGGTGCCCTTTTGGCTTTTGTCTGTGGTGTGGTCTACACACTCCTGCAGTCCGTCATCTCTTACAAATCGTGTCCCCAGTGGAACAGCCTCTCCACGTGCCACGTGCGGATGGCCATCTCTGCCGTTTCCTGCGCAGCTGTGGTCCCCAGTATCCTTTTGCACATTTGTCAGTGTCTTCGAAAGCTTAACCCTTCTCCCTCGCCCCCAAAAAAGTATGAAAAAAAAGGAAAAATTAACAGCCCCGTTTCCACATGCTTCAGAAGAACAACTGGCGGAAAAGTGTAAATCATTAAGAAAATATTTCCACATTGTGTTGTTATTTCAAAAGAATCTTTGTGGGGAATGGTGTGCAGGGAGAATGGAAACATGTCCAAACACTTTAGTCTGTTTCCTTTCCTCCCGACAGGGAAAATTTCATAAGCCATGTGAAGATATTTATTTTTCTTTGTAGTGCTTGGTCAAAGACACCAAATATTGATATTGTACTTAAAGTAATAGCCCTGTGAAGTCCCAAGGGGCTGTACTCTGCCCTCACCCTGCACGTAGGTGATTCATTAGATGGTCTGACTTACTCATCCACGTTAAGAGGTTTTAGAAAGCTCTCTATCATTTATTTCTAAATCACTCGAAATACATTTAGCCTTCTCTTGTTATCACTGATGCCAGTTTCAGAATGAAATCTCATTCCATTTTCGTATTCCACAATGTGAAAAGAAAATCTGAATTTTTATGCGTATGCATTCTGATTTAGAGGGAATGAGAGCTTGATCTTTCTCTCTTTCTTTCTAGAGCTATTTAACAGAAAAAAAAAAAAGCTGTGTCTTTAAGAGGTGGAAAATTCCCCATCTTTCAAAATACCGTCTGTAGTCCTATCAGAGAAAACTGCAGAGGCATCAAAAAAATGTTGATTCCTGTCAGATTGTAGAAAAATAGAAAACCATTTAATTAGTGGAAACTTTGTTAGTCTGGATTGAGTTGTATAAAGTGGGCAAGCTTGAGTAAAAATGCACCATGTGCTTCTAAATATTAAGCTCTGTGATTCTCCTTTAAACTAGAAGCTATACAAAATGTACAGTCTAAGCATGATTTGGGGTTTCGTTTTGTTTTTTTCATCTTAGGGAAGGAAATTTTTGATTACAAAATTTCTAAGTACAGAGGAAGCAAATCCTAGTGTTGAGAAATTTAAACAAAATGCAGACCCTTGTTCCAGAGATGGTTCCTTCTTGATTCTTTGTTCTATTTATGGATTGAAGACACTCATGTTTGTCTTCAAATATAACTACTTTTAGCTTGTGTTAGTTGGAAAGTATATAGAAGTGTTTGTAGTGTTAAAACCAGAGTTCCTTCCTTGCTTCCAACTTTGGAGACACATCTCTAGATGGTAAAATTGGAGAGAATTTTAGCAGAATAAGGCTTTCAGCCATCAGAGTTTCACACACAAATAGTTCCCATTTTTAGGCAGCTCCAATGAGCCATGCCAAGGGGCAGCTTTCCCACAGAAACAGATCATGTCCCTGTATTAAATTAACTTGAATGAATTCATCCATATGAAGAGTTCTTTTGTCTTAAACGTTAGCAAGGTATTTATATTTCTTTACAAAGATTTCAAAGCATCTTTGAAATGCCCTTGTGTCTCCTTACTACAGTATTTCTGTGAAACACCATCATTTGACTACTGAAGAAACTGAAACAGAGAGTGAGGCTGGTCGCTAGGATCTTGCTTCTAAGCCCTTCCTGGGAGACTATCCATCTTGCACCTGGCTTCTAAAGCTTTCAAAACCTTCACAAAATCACTAACAGCATAAAGCCCAGGTTCCTTTTCTTGAGACCCATAATTTGAGACCTCATTTTACATTGTTTCTTCTGGACTTGCCTGCTTTCTGTTCTCAGCTTTCACCCGTTCTCTTCTACCTGGATGGATTATCTTCCTCCACCTTGTTTTCTAGAGCCTAGCTGTCCAGTATGGTAGCCACTAGCTACATGAGGCTACTGAGCGCTTGAAACATGGCTGGTCCACATGGAGATGTGCAGTAAGTGTAAAAACCACAGTGATTTCAAAGATTTAAGAAGAAAGAAAAGGAGAATATAAAATACGTCACATTACTTCTTTATATTATTGCATGTTGAAATGATACCATTTTTGATATGTTGAGTTAGATAAGATATATTATTAAAATTAATTTCATTTGGTTTTATTTATGTATTAAGATTTATTTTTATTTATTTTTTAATTTTTTTATTTTGGGGAGAGTGCATGCTCAAGTAGGGGAGGGGCAGGGGGAGAGAATAGGAGAATCTTTTTTTTTTTAACTTCATTTTTTATTTTTTAAAATTTACATCCAAATTAGTTAGCATATAGTGAAGCAATGATTTCAGGAGTATATTCCCTAATTCCCCTTACCCATTTAGCCCATCCTCCCCTCCCACAACCCCTCCACTAACCCTCTTTTTGTTCCCCATATTTAAGAGTCTCTTCTGTTTTTCCTCCTCCCTGTTTTTATATTATTTTTGTTTCCCTTCCCTTATGTTCATCTGTTTTGTTTCTTAAAGTCCTCATATGAGTGAAGTCATATGATTTTTGTCTTTCTCTGACTAACTAATTTCACTTAGCATAATACCCTCCAGTTCCATCCACATAGTTGCAAATGGCAAGATTTCATTCTTTTTGATTGCCGAGTAATACTCCATTGTATATATATACCACATTTTCTTTATCCGAGAATGGGAGAATCTTAAGCAGGTTCCACACTCAGCACGGAATCCAACGTGGGGTTCAATCCCATGATCCTGGGATTATGACCTGAGTCAAAATCAAGAGTCGGACGTTGGACTCTGGCCACCCAGAGGCCCAGAGCCACCCAGACGCCCCTAAGATTTTATTTTTAAGTAATCTCTACACCCAACAGGGGGCTTGATCTCACAACCCCGAGATCAAGAGTCACATGCTCTACTGACTGAGCCAGCCAGACACCCCCTCATTTGGTTCTTTTTAGGTTTGTTGTTGTTGTTGTTTGTTTGTTTGTTTTTTACTGTGGCTACTATAGTAGAATATTTTAAATTACGCATGTGGCTGGCATTAATTTCTGGGGTGACGCTGCTCTAGAGAGCTCCTCAAGCCTCAACTCAGATTAGGCTCAACTCAGTGAAGCCTTTCCTGACCCCTCACACCCCATTCCACTCTGAACTCATCGTTTTCCCTCTGAGTCATCACTGTGCCCTGTTCTTTTCTGTCTTAATGCAGCACATTCCCTGGGCTTCGTCCGACAAGGCTGCGATGTTTCCAAGAGCTGACACCAAGTCTGTTTTTCCAGAGTTTTCTCTATCTCCCCCTTCCTCCCCACCAGCATGGTACCTGATGCACAGAAGATAGGACTCAGGAACAAAGAATTAAGAGACTTTTAAACTATTAGAAACAGATATGGTAATGACATGATCAGAGAATCTTCTATGCTTTCTACTCCTTTTATTTTGAGAAACCGAGAAGTGTTAAGAATTGCAAAATATTGGGGGGTGGGGAGGGCAGGGAGAGGAGATGCTGACTCTGTATTCAGAGGAAGTTCTAAACTTGGCATTGACTCTAAGCTTTGAATTCGTCTGTTTGCAAAAGCATTTTAAGAGCATCTCATTCTCTAGCCTTCTCTTTTGCCTTCTAAGCTCCATCAGAATGGCTGTCCCCGCCTTTGTGCAGACAGTCAACGGAGGCTCTGGCCTCAGTCCTGGGCACTGTTTGACTGGCCTCTCAGGGTATCTCCTAAGGTCAGAGGTAGGACATTATCTCTTTGATTTGTACACCCTTTGGGCCAGGAAGGAAGGGCTCTGCTTATACCTGATTACTTGATGGGAAAAGTCTGTTTTTTAAAGACAGGAGTTTGAATCTTTACCTTGTTTTTGTAGACGAATCTTGGTAGTTTGTGGTGCTTTTGTACCTTGAAATGTTAATCTTTCCTTAAAGCTGTTGTCTTGAAAATAGTATTTTAGGGAAAGAGTATTTTTATTCAATACTTTTATTTAGGGAAAGTAGTATTTTAGGGGAAGAGTATTCAAAAAGAACGTATCTGGATGGCTGTGTCAGTCATTTTGACAAAATTTAAAAAGCAGAGTAGGGCATAATGTAGCCACAAATTAAAATTTTACTATACGTAACTCAAAAGGTATTGCTAAGGAATGACTGTATTTCCATCACAGTCTAATTTAAGGGTTGAGATTATAAGAAGCTGATATAACTGGTTTGATTACAGAAATGTTGGTATTAATATTTTGACCCTGTGTGATGATTATTAGCAGAATAGTCTTAACATTCAAAGACCTGGCTTTTTTCTGGACTTTCCTTAACAATCTCCTTTTTTTAGTGATCGCCTGTGCTTCACTAATTTCTATAACCAAACTGGAATGGAATCCAAAAGAAAAGGTAAAATTTAACTCAGTATGATTGTTGAACGTGGTTCCTGGGATTATTTTCAAAGTTTTGAATTCTTAATTGAATTTCCTAATCAAAAGAGGTAGGGCAGGGGGGTCAGTATGAATTAAGGTGTATGGAGGGCAGAGGAAGCAGAGAATGTTAAGCAGAAAGGATGAGATCAGCTCCAGCATGGAGGGCAGTTTGTTTCAGGATGGCGTGGAAAATAAATGTGGTCAGGGCTATATTTGCAGGAGGGGAGTTAACGCAAAGTTTTTGAACAGGCAAGTACGTGGTAAGACGATTGGCAGGGAGATATTAGTCAGAAGCAACCCTGGGATGAATGGATGAGGAGAGAGCCCGGAGTTAAGGTGGCAGGAAGAAGGCAGTTCTCTAGCTTTCAAATCAAGATTCGCCTAGGGGACTCAGCAGCACTCATTGTCAGGGAAATGAAAATCAAAACCACAATGAGATGTCACCTCGTTCTGACACCTGTCAGAATGGCTAAAATAAAAAACACACGAAACAAATGTTAAGGAGGATGTGAAAAGAAAGGGACCCTCATGCACTGTTGGTGGGAATGCAAACTGGTGCAGCCACTGTGGAAAGCAGGATGGAGGTTCCTCAAAAAGTTAAAAATAGAAGCACCATATGATCCAGTAATCATGCTACTGGGTATTTACCCAAAAAATACAAAAATTCTAATTCAAAAGGATAGATGCACCCCTATGTTTACTACATTATTTACAATAGCTAAATTATGGAAGTGGTCCAAATACCCATTGATAAATAAATGGATAAAGAAGATGTGGAATATATACACAATGAGATATTACTCAGCCATGAAAAGAATGAAATCTTGCTATTTACAACAACATGGATGGAGCCAGAGAGTATATACTAAGTGAAATAAGTCAGAGAAAGACAAATACCATATGATTTCCCTCGTATGTGGCATTTAAAAAACAAAAGAGCAAAGGGAAAAAGAGAGAGAGAGACAAACCAAGAAACAGACTTTTAACTATAGAGGATAAACAGATGATTAGCAGAGGGGAGGTGGGTAGAGGAATGGATGGAATAGGTGAAGGGGATTAAGAGTACACTAATCATGATGAGCACTGAATAATATATGGAAATGTTGAACCATTATATTGTACACCTGAGATTAATATAACACTATATATTAACCATACAGAAATGAAAATTTAAAACTTTTAAAAATGGAATGAAAAAAGGGGCATCTGGGTGGCTCACTCAATTGGTCAAGCATCTGACTCTTGATTTCAGCTGACAGTTGTGAGATCAAGCCCCGCGTAGGGCTCTATGCTGACAGGTCTGGAGTCTGCTTGGGATTCTCTTTTCCTCTCTCTCCGCCCCTCTCCTGCTCATGTGCATGCGTGCGCACACACACACACACACACTCTCTCTCTGTCTCCCTCTCTCTCTCAAAATAAATAAATAAACTAAAAAAAAAAAGGAAATAAAAAAATCAGCCTAGGGTGGAAGTAATATGGGGAAATATTTAATGGGTACTGGCAAGTGACAAATGAGAATAGAAGGACATGAATCAAAGAAGACTTCCAAGTGTTATCTTGGGGAAAGCAAAGAATCTGTCCCCATAAACAGAGAGAAGTAGGGTCCTGAACAGGAATAAATGATTCCATGGCCGGGGGCAGGTGGGGACTGGGTGGTTTGGTTTTAGAATTGTTGAATCTGAGGCTGTAGTGAAACATTAAAGAGAAATGTCCAGTTATTGTGAGGGACTAGACTGGGTGGGGGGTGGGGGGGCAACTGGGAACCATCAGGGCACAGGGTAGAAGGACTGGTAATTTCCAGCCCAAATGTCAGAACACCTGGCATTGAAGGTTTGGAGTTGAGATGGACTCATGCCATTGGCTACTCATAGTGGTGGCTCATCTAGATGCCACATAGGGAACGAATGATGCCCAGGAGAGGAGAGTTAGTGGGAGAATGGCAGTTTGTTTTTCAAGGACCAGGGGAGTTACTGATGTTTTTAAAAAGGCAGTTTCAGTAAAATGTTGGTATCAGAAGCCAATTGCAGGAGGTTAAAGAAATGGTGAGAGGGATGGTTCATTCATTCATCAGTCTAGTGTTTGGAGGTGTGAGGAAAGGGAGAAATAAGATGGTGGCTGGAGGGCCAGTGGGATCAGTGGATTTTCCACAACAGAGGACTGGGGCATGTGAGGAAGCCTGCAAGAGACAACAGAGAGACTGAAGATGGGGAGGAAAATAATGATCCAGACACAAGTTTTAAGAAAGTCCCTTCTGAAAGCCAGACCTCACAGCCAAGCAGCTTCCGGTGTATTTTTACCATTCAGCCACTGGGGGGAGGCATTTCACCACAAATCAAACAAACCAGCAGCTGGGAAGGATTCATCAGAGTATATATATATATCCCCCAGGCAGTTGAAAATTGTTTTTTATTTTGTCTTCTATCTTAAAAATATGAAAAGTACCACATTTTTGTTCACTCCATAAATTACCATGCTATGCTTGTGTTGCTTTCTGTTCCCAATATCAAGGAATGCACACAAAACCCTTTGCATTAATTCACTGAATGGAATAATCAGTTAGGTACTTCCCTAGACTTCTGTGGAGTGCTTGGGAACTTTATAGCACATTCCTGTGCATTGACTTACTTGGTAGGGAGTGTAAGAATTATAATATCATTGTCTCATTTTATTTTATTATTTTTTAAAAATTTCTTTTTAATGCTTACTGCTTACTTATCTTTGAGAGACAGATGGAGCCTGAGTGGGGGAGGGGCAGAGAGAGAGGAAGACAGAATCTGAAGCAGGCTCCAGGCTCTGAGCTATCAGCACAGAGCCTGATGTGGGGCTCTTATTTGTGAGCTTCAGTATTATGACCTGAGCTAAAATTGGATGCTTAACCAACTGAGCCACCCAGGCACCCTTATAATATCATTGTCTCATTAAAAAAAAAAAAACAGTTTATTTATTTTGAGAGTTGGTGGTGGGGGACAGAGGAGGGTCAGAGAAAGCAAGAGAGAGAGAATCCCAAGCAGGCTCTGAATCACTGTCAGCACAGAGCCTGACATGGAGCTAGAACTCCCGAATTGTGAGATCATGACCTGAGCCGAAGTCAGACGCTTGACGGACTGAGCCACCCAGGTGCCCCTAAAAATGCTTTTAAAGTAATTTACCGCATTTAAAAATCAGGAGAGATCACATACACAAACACACAAACACAGGCTTTTTTCTGAATCTCTCAAAACAACACTGGAGTCACAGTTTCCTATTTGAGGAAAACGGAATTGGGCCGATGAGGAGTGGGCTCTCAGTCCTCCCTCTCTTTTTGCAATCATCAGTTCCATTTGTTTTTATTAATTCTCTGGCCCACATAGGAGAAACCCCCAATTAAAGCCTTCCATTCTTTCATCCCTGCCCCCAATAAGATAGTTAACGTGTAGATGTCTCATTAGCCTGCGCTTTGTGGCTGTGTTTACCTTACAGTGTTAAGCAGAATTAGGTTCTAAACGGACATTTTGTATAGTAACAGGAAATGTAACACCAAGTGGTGACAGCCAGTCTCCTCCAGGTGCGAGAGCTCATTCTGTTTTAACAAGGGCCCAAAGGCTGACTAGATAGATGTTTTTAGGCATGCCTTTGAACTTTGGGATTCCTTAGCAGTGGGAGAGCAAGTCATGCCTTGAATGGAAAGTTCTTTCTTCCCTTGAGTCCAAATATGTTTCTCAGCCATTTTGTGGCCCTTATTCTGCCTTTCGAAGTGTACAGACTAGGTCGTAAAACCAGAGTGTACGAGAGCCCCAAGAACTTTTGGGATAATTGCATTCACATTCTCATTGGGCAGGGTGTTCATCTCCCTGGCCTTTCACTGCCTTTTCTCAAGGGGTTGATTTATGCTCATCAGACAAGGTTTTCATTTGGTCTGACCAGCGTTGTATTTCAATACATACAGTATGGTGAAGGTATTGAGGCTAAATTCTGTTTCTTTATTGTTGCTATTAGGATTATATATATCACGTAGTGAGTGCAATCTGTGAATGGACAGTGGCCTTTGGTTTTATTTTCTACTTCCTAACATTCATCCACGATTTCCAGGTAGGTATTTACCAATTCAAATGTTATAAATTGCTGACAATTAGGATTAGGAGAAATCCATAGAACATTTCTTACACTAAAAAAATAAAAATTTAAAAATTTAAAAAAATTAAGAAAGCACTATCTGTCTTTTTACCCTTATGTGTTTGAAAAACATGTAAATATTAAGGGAAGCATCTTTAACAGCTCTCCCAACAATGAAATTCTCATATGTCCTCTGCCACTAGATGCCTATAGTCAGATATCTTGGTTATTAGCTTTTTGAAGGCCTCATTTACTAGTTCCGAATAATAGGAAATATGTCCATTTAATAAACAAAAATTTGTTGTGGAAAATGTTCCCAAGGTAGAGAGAAGGTAGGACCTTATCAGGTTTGACAACAGGGAAGATCTTACATTTTGAAACAAGTGAATTCTTAGCTGAAAGGATATAGAAGAAAGCCAAGAAAACTCTTTAAGACCCAACTCGAACTCTGCAGAAACCATAGTGAGGTCATCTCTGAAGGGGTGGGGCAAAGCTTTTGGGAGTCCATAGCTGGCACCAATGTACCTCCTTTGAAACCTTTTTCTTCTGTCTTTAATAGAGCGTCACCCTAAGGATATCCACAGAAATCAATGATGATATTTGAAGAAAGAAGAATTATATGTCACTCAGTGAAAGTCACAGGCAATTTCTGGAAGTGGTACAGAGGAGGGTCTTAATGCTGCCCTGTGTGGAACGCATCTGCAGTACATCCGGGACTTGAATTTCATTAAGAATTCCCAATAGTTGTACTATTTCCAAAGGTATGTCTTCATAGTGAGTGTAGAGCATTTGTGACATCGTAGCAATGTTTTTATAATTTTCTAAGTAGACACTTTTTTGTATTAACAAATTCATTACAGAGAAGATAAGGTGTTACAGAAAATGGACAGCTCTTGTTTTTGCACAGATTCTGTTTTGTTTTCTTTGTGTGTGATTGGTGCGAATACACTAAATAAGGAATTCACTAAGAAGTAAAATCAGGGCATATTCATTTAAAATTTTTATTTTTAGAGCATGAACTGTCTAATTTTATATCACGAGAACACTTACAAAGTTTGATTTATAATGATCGCAATGATTTAGTTAACAAATTAACACTATCAAGGATACTCTGATTTTTATGTGAACTAAGCAAAATGCTTCTGCTGAAAGGCCTTACTATCTCTATGCACATTAACTCTAAGTGAACACAGAAGACCTCAGGTTTTAAATTCCGCCCCCCACGGGCCTCCCTGCCCACAGAGCCACAGTGTTTACCCTTGCTGCTGACTGGCATGCCATAGTGGGCCTAATTCCAGGTGGGATGAATTCAGCAAGGCAGATTAGAAAAACCTTAGAACAACCAGAAAACGGAAACAAGCACCTGACAAGAAAGCCTCGTTGGATTCTGGATCATTGTCCTTGCTGGATGAGCAAGGATGGAAGGTATCTCAGGGACCGTTTGTGGAAGAGATGGATTGTGGGAAGACCTCTGGTTAATACGAACCCTCCACAAAAGCCAAGCTGTGAAAAGCATTAAAAAGACCATTTGTAAAGACACCTTTGTTGTAACTGGCATAAATTGATATATAGTCTGACTCAGAAGCTGAAACTCACATCTCGAATTTATTTCATGGCAGTAAACCTGTGGAAGAGCATGTAGGTCTGAGAGAGGAGAGGGGAGAAGGTAGAGGGTGCAGTTCATTTGATCCTTCTTTTTATGCCTGTAGCTGGATGTTTGCATACCTCACGAAATGTGAACCTGGTCCTTTGTTAAGACCTACACGACCTACACGCTCCACCGTCTCACCCAGATCACAAATGACAAATGAAAAGCAAATCATTCCAGAACAAGAAGCGGGCCTTGACATGTTAAGGCTTAGGTTTGAAAACTGAAGAGAAGGCCTTCCTTCAAAGACCCTCCAGACCACAAACCTCCATCTGGCCAAGTGGGTCCAGACCTTGAGTTCATTTGCCAGGGCCAGAACTTGGACAGCCTGGGAGGGAATCCAGGAGTGGTGAACACATCATGGCTCTTCAATAAATATTTACCGAGTGAATGAAGCAGTCGGCCACCTCAGCAACAACAAACTGTGTTGCCTGTATTCAGCAGTGAGAACCTGATAACCATGTCTGAGTCTGTTACAACTTGTCGTGATGCTGTGGGTCCCCATAGTAACACTGGAACTGAAAGACTGACTGAAGCTCTGGCAAGCATTCATTATCTTGAAGATGGGGGGAAAATGTCACATTCCTGTGCCGTGAAACCTGTAGGAGAATGAGTCCTCAGCTGGGACTCACTTTGAACAGATTTTTCTTATCTGCACTTCTCATGATGCATTATTATTCTTCATGTCCGTATCTCTCCATGAGATAGATAGGCAGAGTATGTGCCTTGATCTTTATCTTTGTAAATCAGGCGTTTACCAGGATGCCTCCTGGTACACAGCAGGTGCTCAATAAATACTCATGAATGCATGAATGAATGAGTGAACAAGTGAAGGAGTGACTAGGGGTATTTGTAGGGCTGCATAGTGAGATTTACACTGGTTTACTAGTTAAGTGATAAACAAATGGTCTGTATCACTCAGTAATGTTGACTGTTTTGCTTTGTGTACTGTAAACATTTCAGTTGTTTGGGCTTCACGACCCTATGCCAACTCTCTTCAACCTGGACAGTTAACACCAAAATTGTTACATGGGATAGACAAAACGGTACACCTGGCTTGCCAAACTGAGAACGCCAAAAATCACTCCAGACAATCACATTCTGCTGGTTCCCTGAAACCCCTAAAGCTGGTCTCATCCACATTTATGGTATTATTTCTAATTTCCATGACTTTGCATTTCCTTGGCCCTCTTGGCTAAAAGAGTAGAATAAAATGAAATATTTCTTTATTTTAGCAATTTGTGTTTCTGTTCAATTATAACATGTTGACTAGGTACTACCATGAAGTGTGTATATCCAGGGAACAATTCTAGCTCCACTTGGACTCTATAGAGGTAGAATTTAAACTCTATGTTTTCTTAATTCTTACAGCTTTGCATGTGGGCACAGTGGTTCATCTTTGTAGAGACTCAAACATTAGTATCAGAAGTTCATATCAGTCTGGACTCTTAGAGTTGATGGTGCCAGAAATCCAACTCAAATTTGTTGAGGAAGAAAGGGGCATCTGTTGACTCAAGTGACTGAGAAGTCCACGGGTACAGCTGGCTTTAGGGACGGCTGGTCTGAAAGTGGCACCAGAACTCCATTTCTTCTCTCCCTCTTGCAGCTCTGCTTTTTCTCTCTATTGACATCATTCTCAGGCAGGTTTTCCCCCGGTGGAAGTGAGATGGCTTCTAGAAGTTTCAGGCCTACAACCTGTCCAGCAGAAAGAGAAGACTTCTCAATAGTTCCATCAAAAGCCTGGGAGTTAAAGCTCATTATCTCTGACTGGCTGGCTTGGGTCACATGCCCATGCCCAGCTCAGGGAAGTATGATGCTCTGATTAGTCAGCCTTGTGTCACCTGTCCACCTCCGGACAGGTCAACTGTGTCTGAGATGCTGGGCTGATGGTGGGTGAAAGTTGTTTTTCAGAAGAAAGGAACGGGAAATGGATCTGGGACAGACACAAAGCAGTAGATTCCGTCATGGAATTAAAGCTTTCCCCCAAACCCCCACACCACATGTCTTGAGTGGTACCACACGACAACTTGTTTCCAAGTAAAGCAAATTATACTCGCTGACAACCTTTTCAGGTTAAAAAAAAAAAGTAAACATCAGCCACTTAGGTAACAAACAGGCCTTCAGTTAACTTCAAAGTTATATATTTTCAAGCTTTTTGTGTTTTTATTTCGCCCCCATGTGTCTGGTCAGGCAGTCAATTATCACATTTCTCAGAAGAGGAAACTAAGGCAAAGAGAAGCTCTGTGATATGCAAGAGGTTCTACGGTGGGATGGCAACAGATCCCGGTCTGGGACCCTTGTTTTCCTGATTTCTGATCAAGTGGGTCTTTTTCTTTCTTCCTTTTTTTTTTTAAACACTAACGGAGGATTCCACAGAAATTGCATCTCACAAACCAAATTAAGTACATCAGTGTTGTGCCGTGTTTGGGTTTCCTAACATCCCTTGCATGTGGCATTGTCCCATGTTCTCATTCTTTTGCTCAGTTGGAGACATGCTGGTGTGGTGTTTGGGCCCTGGAATGAGGAAGGGGGAGCGGGAGGGAGATAAGTGGCATCCCATTCTCTCCCACTCCCTGATTCCGGCAAGTCAGTAAGCCCAGCCGTCTCCCCACACACATATTCTTGGTCTGGCTCTGAACGCCCGGCATTCTCAAGGCCGGAATGTCATGCATTTGCGTCCTGTCTGTTGCATAAGAGAGCAACCACAGCCTCAAGCCCTGGAGGAGAAGCTTCTGGCTCTCCTTGGTCACCCCCAGGAGACTCATCTTCTAAAGTGAAGGGCAGCAGGATGCCAGACCCATACTGGGGGGTGGCGGTGACTTCCAAAATCGATGCCCAGAAAATGCTGAACGAGGTACCAACCGTCTGCTCTGAGAATTGAGCCAGGGTGCCATCAGACACGTAGTAAGCCCACAGTTAGTCCCTCGGCAGTGAGGAGTGCTCTGTGCCCCACTGTCCCCGAAGCCAGCTCTACCTCTGAACTCCTCAGTTACAAGAGTTGACAGAGTCTTTTGAACTTCGATAAACTTGATAAGGATTTCTGATGCATAGCCCTGTAAGAGTCCTAACTGATAGGCCTTACCATCCTGGGGTGGAAAGATAATTTCTAGATAAGCGGGGATTCAGCTGCTCCCACTCCCAGCCCTTACTTCCTGAACCATTTGTTATTTAAAAATTTTTGAATCAGTAATAGTATTCAGGGGATTCAAAAATCAAAACAAAATAAAAAGGTATTCTGTGAAAAGCCTTTGCACTCTTCCTTTATCCACACTTACTCCATACACCTCTCTTTTTGCAAATAGCCACTTTTTATGAAAATACAAGTGGAAACACTTTTTAAAATGTTTCCCTTTTAACTTCTGCCCCCAATGTAGCATACTGTACCGGCAGCTTTGAGCCTTCCTTTTTTTGACTAAGCAATGGGTCTTGGAGATGCTTCCTTATCAATACAGAGAGCTTCCTTATTTTTTTAGTTGGTTCTGTGTTACACCTGCATTGTATTCCATTGTGTGGCTGTGCCATCATTTATTTAACAAGTCCCCTGTTTGATGAGCTATCGTGTGGTTCCCAGACTCCTGCATGACCTTGTACATACATCATTTCATGCATGTGTGAGGAAATCTGTGGGAGAAATTCCCATAAGCAGGAATGCTGGGACAAATGGGAACTGGGTTTGTAATTTGGCAAATATAATCATCTTGCCTTTAGAACCTTTTTACTTGATCATTTTTTTTTTGGTTGGGAAATCTTTCCAACTATTTTACCCTTCCTTCTAAACTGAGGATGCTGATTGTAAGTTCACCTTTGCAAGGGTGAGTTAGTCATTCATCGACAGGCACAGATGTGGATTCTGGGGTAGATGGTGTGGGACAGAGGCAGGGTGACCGTGTCACTGTTCTTCTACAAACACTCTCCCTCTTTGTTCCCCCTTTTTATTTAAGCACCTAAGGCAGGGAGGGCAAGGCTGTTTGCTCCCCTCTCTGTGGACAGCAGGACTCTCTTCTCTCTCCTCCCC